GAAGTTTATGAATAATTATTCTGGAGTCACCACCACTGCTGATGTCAAACCTCTGTCCAGATGCCAACTATTACCAAAATTGCTCCCTGAGCTTGCACTAAAACTAAAGTGAGCGACAAAAGCTGGGGCTGCTTTCACAGGCAGAAAATAGTGGCACTGAAGCGCAGACAGTCCAGGTGACTGTGACCTGCACTGACACCTGGTGCACAGGGCTCTCCCAGCTCACCCCGTGGACAGGTGCTGCAGCCTCATGTCCAGAGGAATAGGCTGAAAACTGGCGAAAATGGTGATATGAGTCCAAAAAAAGCAATACTTGCAAAATGAGTTTTTCTCTTGGATGTGAATTCAAATGTGCTGAAGTCCAACATCTTTCTGCAAAGAGACTTTGGTGCACTGTCCTAGTGATAGCTGCTGGGTGTCGATTACCAAGTGTTTAAAGTGTCAATCTGCAGTGATGGGATAGTAGTTATCTTACCTGAAACGAGAAGGTTGTTAAGCCATTGAACCCTGAGGTGTAGTGTTCAGGTGACCAGTGATTTGTCAAAGCCCCAGGGGACACAAAGAGATGCTGGCACTCCACAGCCCTCTGATCGCGGCTATAGGGGATGTACAGCTGTTCCGAGATCCCGCACGGTCTGTAGGGTATTAGCCAAATTTTTTTAAGTGTTTCACAAGATTCTAGCAGAAGAATTGAATACTTCTGATGGTTGCAATTAAGGGCAAGCACCCATCTCCACCCATCTCCACAGCTCAGAGCTGAACTGTGAGAAGTCAAGGCTGTGCCAAGAAAAGGTTTCAGAACAGTACTCTCCATAAAGCTGAAAAATATATCGTGAATATAGATTGAGATAAAACGCTGTGAGGCTCACAAGGGGAACCATGTACCAGTTCACGACATCTAAACGGCATCATACATTTCTCCACTGCCTGGAGAAAGGCATGCCACCTTCCCTAATGCCCAGCTGAGCTACTTTTGTTCACAGGACCATAGTCCTGAACGCTTGGCGCGGGGGAGAGAAGGGGCTGTGCTAGGGGAAGAATGAGACTAAATCATGTCTCTTGAAGACCAGTGGTCTCCTGTGTTTCACTCTCCTGCGCGCTCGGGTGTGGGGCGCGTCAGACTCTGACGTTCTCTGCGGCGGACCCTGGGTTACCCTGGAGCTGTGTCTCCCACAGCACAGAGCCAGGGGGAGCATGGGGCCAGGGCGCCAAGCACGTCGAGGAACGGGGAGGAAACTACAGCGAAGAGCTGAGAGGACAGGCAGAGGAAACAGTTTCTGTACTTCCCTACAGACAGCTTCTACACAAGCCTTTTTCTTCCGCATAAAGTAGACAGTGATAAATCAAATTGTGATATCTGTAGTAGATAGCGATAAGTCAGGAGTTCCAGTGGCTTTTATCGTTTTCTTCTCCTTTGCAAAGAGAATAAAAAAATAAACAACAACCAGCTTGTGTAAAAGCCTGGGGATGGGCTGCGGCTGCGGCTCCACCCATGCGCAGGGCTGGCAGGGAGCGGGAACCCACCGGAGGGGTTCCCGACTCCAGCAGCTTGTATCGAGGGTTGCGGGATGCGTCGGAGACGGGATGGGCACAAATCCCTCACGGAGCAAAAGCTGCCCTGTGCTCAGTCGATGGGTCACAACCTTGTGTCGCCGGTGCCCGCCGCAGTGGGGGCAAATCCCCCCCAGCCGAGACAGATGCTATTCCCTGCGAGGTGGACACAGTTTCTCACCTGGTCTTGAACCGATCCTGCACATTTCCAACCGCAACGTCTGAAGCGGAGCTTAGCCCTGTCTCCGCCCTAAGATCAAACACCTTTCCCCAAGCCTGACAGCGAACTGCCATTTTGTAGCCACATCCCCTCGCAAGGATGCTTTCGGGGGGAGCGGTCCCAGCGACGGGGCTCTGTGTAACGCGAAAGATGAACAGGGAAAAACAGTAACAAGCTCCAACCCCACTGCAAACGCCGTGCCCGGGCCCCTGGGCAGGTCCGGGAGAAGGCTGTGCGCTGGCGCTGCAGCCGCCCCGGGCAGCCGTCGGGCGGTGGTCCCGCGGCAGCCGCGGTCGCCCTGCCCCGCTGCGCGGCCAGGCGGAGCAGCGCGGAGAGCTGCGCATCAGCCCCGCGCTCCGAGGCGGAGCGGGGCGGGCGTCGCCCCCGCCGGGGCCGCCCGCCCGGAGGGGACACGGCGAGGGGCGCCCCGGGCCGGGCCGGAGGGTCCCAGGGCAGCGCACCGCCCTCGCCCCGCGGTGGGAATGGGGGGTTTGCAGAGAGGGCCGGTCCCGGCAGCGTCAGCGCTCCCACTGCTCCTTCCTTCCCGGCAGGGCCCGAGCGGAGCCGGTCCCTGGGGAGAAACTCATCGCGGAGGCCCCGGGTGCGAAGAGCCGGGGTGAATATTGTTCTGGCAGCGGCAGCCGAGGGTGTTAATGTAGGCTGGCTGGAGTGAAATAAGGCAAATATTTCCGTTTGTGCCCTCCTGCCTCTCTCAGCACCGGCTGTCAGTCCCCGGGCTTGTTATCCGTACAAGGTATCAGTTTGTTTGGCTGAGCTCAGCAAGGTTTTCTTCTCCGAGCAGAACTATAATTGCTATAATTCTACTGTATCATTTGGATCATTGCAGTATTGTTGTTTTCTCTCTCTCGTTCTCTCCCTGTAATACTGCCATAACGCGCTCCAGTGTTAAATTAGCAGGTTGCAGGGGGAAGGGAAGAAAAGAAGGCGAGGGAGAGACCACAAATGACTAAAAGTTTGTTTAAAAAAATAAATAAAGCAACAACGTGAATTGGCAAAGGAGAGCTCGCATCGCAAAGCATTTTTGCCTGCGAAGGGAGTGCTGCGGTCCCGCCCCACGCCCTGGGCTGGCCGGGGCTGGGTTTCCTCCGTCAGGGCCTGCCGGGGCGCCGGAAAGTGGGGAATGGGAGGACCCCGGCCAGACTCGAGCAAAGGGAGACGAGAGACCGGGGCGGGAAAGGAGTGAAAACAAGCTGCAGACGGCTGGAGGCCGCAGCAGGGCTCCCTGCGCTCCGCACGTCCCCGACAGCCTCCAGCTCCCTCCGCCGCAGTCCCGGCTCGCACCGCCGGGTCTCGGCGCTGCTGAAGCCCTCGCAGATGCCGCACCGAAGGTCCCCCGTGCCCTCCGGCTGTCGCCTGTGCCACGGCCGGTTCGGGTCCCCCCCCCCGGACAGGCAGCTCTGACCGTCCCTGCTCTGCCACTCGCTGCGTCGCGGTTCGCCCGCACCGGCTTGGCCGGCGCCCGGCAAGGCAGCGCAGGGAAGGCAGATGCGGGCCGGCCTCCCCGGCTGTCGGAGCGCCGCTCCTGGCCCGGTGGTACCCGTGGCTCCGCGCAGCTTCTCCCGGGCCAGCCCGGTGGAAAAGTCCCGGTGGAACCGCCCGGCACGGCCAGGGCGAGAGCAAGAGGCGTCAGCCCCTCTGCTCGCCGAGCCTCGCCAAGGGCACCCGGGTCTTTTTTTTTTTTTTTTTTTTTTTTTTTGGTTTGGGATTTGGATTGGATCCTTTTTAGTTACTGGGTTAATGAACTAATGGCCACTCATGCCGGGATGGTAAAAGCTCTCTAGAGCACAGATGGCAATCGGCAGCTTTGCGTGCCCAGCCCAGGAGCATCCGCAAAGCCGGGCCGGGCTGGGGCCGCCCCGCTGTGGATCGCGGGGCCCGCCGGCCGCGCACGTCGGGGCGCTTCCCGCTGGCATCGCCCCGGCCTGCGGATCAGGGGGAAACGAAGAGGGATGAATGAGGAGTAGGAGCCCGGAGGGGGCCCGCTTAGGGAGGGGACGACTCTGGGTATAACGTTTGTCCCCGAGCACGCACCTTTAGAGCTTGGAAGTGTGTGCGTGTGTGCCCTCGGGCGTGGACACAGCCAGAGCGGCGTTTAGCCCACGCCAGCACGGACACATGCACGCAGTCGTTTATCTTTTCTCTTAATTAACCAGAGATATCTGGTTAATTAGGAGACGTCAGTTCCGCACGCAACTGTGGCATGAACAGGGAAAATGGGGCTGTCTCCGCTTCGGTGCTCGGGGCTGGGCATCACCCGCACGACAGCACGGGTTATTTGTGGTGACCGGGAGCAGTTTCTCCGACGTGGTTGTGCTTGTGGGAGTCCGAGAGCAGGAGCGCACACGTCAGCGGGGACAGGCAGCTGTACAGTGCCCATCAAAACCGAGCCCAAACCGACCAGACAGAGAGCCTGAACTTGTGACCGCCCAGCAGGGAAGGGAAAGGAGCATAAAAAGCCGTCAGAGGTCTTCCGGCCCCGAAGCGGCGTGGAAAGCGCCGGAGGAGGGGAGATGCGTGTGCCGAGAAGGGCAGAGGCCGTCAGGGCAGGGAGGGGCCGCCGGACAGCACCGCAGCGGGCTGCGCGCCCTGCCCTGCCCGGGGGAAGCTGCTCCCGGCCCCCGCGCTCCGCGGCGCGCTCCCCGCCGCCGGTGCTGCCTCAGGGCGCCCCGAGCGCGGACGCGCCATTTCAAACACCGGCGGCCCTGCGCAGCCCCGCGCCGGGCGGGCGCTGCCCGCGGCAAAACACGGCGCGGATCCCCCGGCGCCGCCCACGCCATCCCGCCCGGGAATTGCC